GAGGTTTTTAACTACAATGTGATATGTAAACAGAAAATTTTCGATCACTGATCTTGACCAACTCGCTCAACAGGTTTATCAAGTCCAGAAACCGCCAAAACCTTGGCTATAGACTCAAAGCAAATCACATGGCCGACATGACTGAAGAAGAGATCAGACAGAAGAAAGGACTACTGACGGATAAAGAACCTGGTGTACTGAATGGGGGGAAGAGATTTGAAATACCGGAGGGTACCAATGTCAAAACTCTACCTGATACCGTTAACTGGGAAAAATCGGGTGAGAGGAAAGAACTCTTATAATAGATAAATACAAACAAACAGAGTAGTCGCCAAAATGAATCAAAACAAACACAGACGTCACTCTTACCTTAGTGAATTAGTCAGCCTTCTGGTTTCCATCGAGAAGCAAAAACTGTTAGGCAAGGCTTAAAGAATTTTTCAGAAAGCAATTCTTGAAAATTCCAGATCGGGTGGGATTCATATTAAGCACTTAGTGGTACTATGGAAAACAAATGAGTAAAATTATTGATTAAACACTTAGAGCCCTGTCAGTGAACTTTACTGAAAAAGGTTCTTCTGTTTCACCAGGTGCAGTAAATCCGGTAAGAAGTCAAGGGATTTGTGGCTCGTGTTATGCATACCCTGTTACTGGTGCCATGGAATGGGCCTAGTTTATCAAGGTTTGTAAACAAAAAGATGTCACAGCGCTTTAATATTAATTGTTGCTGGCACCGTGGACAGTTAGCACCGTCCTCTCAGAACATGGCGCTTGTCAGACTAATATTCTACTCCGGTTTGTTTCACTTTGTGTTTTAGGCTGATGATGAGTACCTTGAACCTACTTTTTATCATTTTCTGAAGTTTTTCATCGGATACGACGCACAGCGGACACAAATTTGAGGACCTTATGAGAGTGAATTAGCTTGAATTTGTTGTAGGAGACATCTCTTACTATCCGAGGTCGTACTGTAAGTTACGGATAGACTTTTTTCCCCGCGGACTTGAA